CAGGTTCTTCAGTCGTTCCGTAATTCCTTTAGGTAGCGGTTCTGCGTGGATAACATTTCGCAAAACTGAGGACGCCGTAGAACAATAACCAATTACTGTCCCTTTCCTTAACTTAGCAGGATAATGATTAATGTTCATTATCCTCACAGGTATTGTTCTATTCACTCTGACCAAATTATTGGCTACTAGAATTCCTCGGCCAATGTCTTCATCATGATTTGTGGGTTCCGGGATAGCAACCTCTTCAGCTGTAACGGCGCCCTCAGGGCTCGCTTTCTATAAATGACTCGCTACGCTCCGTCACGATCACGTCGTTTGCCGTAATCACATTCACAGCAATGTTATTACGCGAATGCAGGACCACCACCACCACCACCACTTCGTTGAGTGTCAGTATGCCGCGTTGTAAATCTGACACTCATAAGTCTTCATGATGTTAATTCCTAAAATTGCTTTTTCTATGTCTGCGACCAGTTGACGTTTATTGAAAACTGCAGTTCCTGAAACTGAAATGGCAAGGAGGGCATCCATCTCTCCAACAACATTCGCAGATTTCCCAGTGGCTGTTCGAAGTTTCCATTTGGATGGCATAAGATGACGAGATGACTTGGCGAAATTGGTTCTTATAATGCTCTTTGTTGCTCCAGTGTCCAGAAGTAAGACGCATGGTTTTCCATTTACGATTGCGTACGAATAGCAACGAAAATGTTAAATAGCCGGACCGGCCCAGTGCGCTAGTAGCTTATCGCTAATGGAACACAATGTGGATCACTGCAGCGAGTTGTCACCAAGAGCCACCGTGAGCTGCCAAGTCGATGCCCTTATTTGTTCTATTCCTTTGCGATAATTGTGTACTTATTGACTATCTAACTCAGTTCTAATATATTGGAAATTCATAATTACAGATATTTAAAATTTATATTTCTATTATTTTACTTGCTCATCGCGGGATCTTTAGGTGAGCGGACTCCTTGCCACTGTAAATTCTTCTATAAGTTGTTAAGCGACTCTGGTGGTTTTTTTTCTGTAATGATATTCCCGAAGCGTACAGTGCAGTTTTGTGGTAACTGAAGTGATAATATGGATGCAGTATTTTCCCAAGTTACTAGTGTGACGTCATTGATAATCACAGCGACCACAGACACAGAGCATTCGTATAACTATATATTTATTAACAAAGAAAACAAAACAAATATATACACTTAATAATCTACTTACACCCTAGCTCTGATAGACCTACTATCCCCTGATCGCGGGAGCGATCCAAAACCCGGTTGAAGATGGTTTTGATTGTGGCATTCGCCACTCCTACTTTTGAAGCGCGCACAAAGCCTAGCTTCCGTGACCGGATATCACGCTGGGACACAAAGTCCGTTCTGGCGCACCAACGGCTGGTTTGCCTCGATCGCAGGAGCGATCTTATCCGATTGAGTATCGGCGTGAATCGTGGCACTCAACCACTCTTCACCTCGGAGCACGCACACAGCATCGCTCCCCCGTGACCGCAGTCACCCAAGGACCTAAAGTCCTCAGGCTTCGTCAACTAGTGACTCCAGCCTCGCGAGTCTGGCTCGCATATGCACCGTCGTGGCGCCAAGTTTTGTGCACACGCACGAGGTTCTCCCACTGTCTCCAGAACCCACCCACTGGCTCTGTACCCTCTGTTATATAGGCGAGGCCCACGTGACCTACTACGTCACGCCACCCCCTCGCTTGTTATAACAGTGAAAAGTTTCTATAGGCCGGATCCTCCCAAAGCCTTGTGTCTCCCGTTTCCGCGTTCTTCCCTTTACGGAAAAACCCTACTTCCTGTGGCTAGGCTAATCCTCTTCCAAGCGTCCCCCAATAGATGCCATGAGGCACGCTGGCTAATACGTTACACTAGATACTTAATTTTTTAAAATTTCTTTAGTTTTCGTTGCTATTTTACATTAAAGTATTAACATGTTAATGGCCACAAATGTAAGTTAATTGTATTCCGCTACTCTATTGCAAAGGATAATGCGATGCCAAAGGCCCTGCTCATTAAAACGCTGCCAAAATGTGAGTTATTGCAATTATAAATCCTTTCTGTTTAGAGTTAAGTGACAAGCTCTACAGTTGTACTTATAACATGGACCAACGCTTTTTTGTACCTTGCTAACAACAAAACGTGTGCATAGTACGTTCTATGTTAATTAAAAAAACAAGGGGCCATCTATGTGGATACGCCGAAAAATCTTATGTAGATGGGTGTCACTGACCCAGAAGCTGAAGTACGTTAATTATTGCAGGCTTGTAATTGTACTCGTTATATTTGTGTATTTTTTAACATAAAACATATCCTGCTTTATCATATTGTATTGTTAGGTATGCATTGTATTTATTATCTAGAAAATATAGCTCAAGATGTACTTGTTTTAACTTCCATATGTTATTTCTTTACAATAGTCATGTCTTTGTACTTAATTTCTATTTTGTTAATTATTAATGACAAAAGTGTATTTCAAGTAAATTTGGGTAATGTTATATTTGTATATGAATCATATAGTGTACTGTGGGGTAATAGTAAAATCAGTTATTTCTAGAAAACAGTATTTACTTCGAAGTTATTAGGTCGCAATGTGACATATTCTCTCGATATAAAAAAAGAAAAAGTACGCTGCACCCAGAATGACCAGGTCGATTCATTGCTATCTCTGCGGGTATGTTGCACATAATTAACATAATAACTTATTTTTCACATTCAACCACTCACTCGGAGTCCTTGAGTGGGGCCGTTAAGGCGAGGCCACCGGCTGAAATAAAAGGTTCCTAACAGCTATGCTGGTCATTACGACATGGTGTTGTCTTCAGAGCACCCCCTGTGTGTACTCCATTCCCAGGCGACGTTCGACACTTTGTTGCCCAATTAGACACGTTCGAGGAGAGCAATATCGTGGGGCTGCGGGAGGCTAGATGGTTGTGTCATATCGGCAGTTGGGACATTATCATCGCCCGCTGACGGTGGCAATAATTAGAGGAAGGCACGTGTACATTACATCCAGAATCAGGACGTCCGCCACGAGCACTTCGGTGACGACGATCACCGAGAGTGTGGAGGCCCGGTGAGGCGCGCCAGAAGAGCGGTTAGTGGCTTCTCATCTCACGTCCCAGGAGCGCTGGTGTGGGGCGCGATGTCCCGTGGAGCCTTTTCGCCGATTGCGCTTCTGACGACCCCCCGCCGGCCACGCGCTGTGTTCAAGAAGGTCCTGCAAACGGTGGCTCGGCCATTGGCGTGCGTCCACAAGGGGTTCCTTGGAGCAGGACCCCTGTGGACAGCTATGTTGGTGTGATAAGGACTCCACCCCTTGCCTCCATTCCGGAAGCGCTGTGCGCTGAGGAGCCAGCTGCGTGGAACCGTCTGCGACGGGGTTTTCTTCGAGAATTAAAAAAAACTCCCATTTTGCGTCGCCTCGGTGCATGTGTTCGTCAAAATGGCGTCCCGATGCCAGACTGACATGCAGGCTTCTAGCGCGTGTGACTGTGGTCTTCTAGCGCGTTTGACATTGGTCCTACAAATGGAAAAATGTAATAATTTCGTATGCGTGGTACCTGCTTTGCAACAATGGTGCAAACATGCAATCCTTATCTTTCTGGGTGCAGAGTTCTTTATGACTAATAGCATATGTATGGCTAGTCAGTAAATTTCCAAGATTTGGAATAATTTAAAACTAAATAAATGTTTTTTATTGTAATTAACACTTTAATTTGTATTCCCCACTTGCATTCCTCCATGGTACTTGCACCATGATACTACCCACTTGCTTTTACTCCATGGTACTCTAGTTCTATTTATCGTACTTGATGTTTATCGTGAATATTGCGATAAATTAAAAATAATGTTTTGAGTTTAATGCTCTGTACATTCTCAAAACCATTATATTCTGTTTGTGCTATCGGTTGTTTGGAGATGGCTGCATTCCAAGCAGTACTTAGTTACAGTAGAGCGATGGTGATTCGAACGGCAAAAATTCCGACGGTCGATAATTGGAATTCCATTCTGATGGAAAATATCACTAAGTGGATTCTGTATGTATCTACTCAAATACGGTGTTATGTATTCTCCCCACTTCTGTAACCATGAGAGAGAATCAAGAACGAATTTAGCAAAATTTGAAGACATAACCTATTCGGAAACTGCGTTTTTTTCGAAAATGTATACTTTTTGTAATCCGGTGAAGATCGTTTCAATTAAACCGGATTATCCACGTTCTACTGTAACATTGAAACAAACTAGAAAGGATGTCAACAAATTCTGAATGTTGTGAAAGTTTTTAAAAATTGTATTTGCAAAATGTATGACAATATAAGAATTTTAAATAAAATAAAACATTTTAAATTGTAGTTGACCTCATTACATTCTTTCCACGAGCAATAAACTTCCTCAATCTTAGTAAGATTTTATCCTATGATTATACTTATTCCAACGTGTTTTATAGAAATTAAAGCATTTTAGTCTAACTACTAAGTACTCACGTATGACTACTAAAGTATAACTACTCTATTATTTTAGAATTGTGCACAAGAAAATATTTTAATATCTTCCTTTGGTATAAGTATAATTTCTAATTGTTTTCATATATTACAATATTTTGAAGGATAGTGAAACCTGAAAGGTAATTATTCCCGATCATTTTTAATATAATTTTCAATAATTGTATAATCGATGTGTTCGAATGCTTCAAATGGTAAGTATTGTAGATCATGTTGGGTTAATAAATATAAAATTATTGGTCGGATATCACTGTTATATTCCTGATCAAGTGGTCGCATAGATCATAAAACAATAATCGTGTTCATGATTCCTTCTTTAGCCGAATCGGGATTCTCTAAAGAACTTCGATTATTTTCTCCTATGAACAAAATTCAGAACTACATCAAACGCGGTGCGCCAGCAGCGCCCCTCGCGACGTTTTTGAGAATCTGCGAAATAAGGATTAGTAGGCGGACGAAGACCGTAGTGTGCATACATGTGCAAAATGTGTCCTTTTTGGTTGTCCCGTAGACAGTGTTGCCCTGAGGGAACGTACCGTCAATACTTGGGCACTTTGAAACAGGTAAGTGGTTGTCATATTAAATAAATTTGTAGGAAATTTTCTCTTACATGTGCCAGTTGATTAATTTCCATATGTTAATGCCCATGTATATATATTTCCTTATGGACTTGGAGGGGATAGAAGTGTCCGATAATATATTGAAGAAGAATGACACAAAACATCAAAAATGAATTGTTGAAAGATCCCCTTGAAAAAAAATTTTTTTGAAATTATTTCTCCTCTTGTAATGTTGCGCTTGTATGTAACCTTACACCTACGATAATGTCCTAACATGTAAATCATACGGAAATTAAAATAAATATTTAATTGGTATTTGTGCCCGATTAATAAAATATATCGTTATTATTCACAGTTACAGTTAATAAGAATAAAGAATCTTTAACGGAATTAACTAGAAAACAAGAATAGGAAGCATCATTTGTAGACTGGTTTTCTGTAACTATTGGGACAACGTCAAGTATGCTAGAACTTCCATTCAGAAATAACGATTAATATACCGAGATATAACGATTAATATATCTATGGAATAGGTTTGGGATTGTATGGTTTGTGCGTAGAAAGCTCTTGTGTAATTCGATAGTAGCGGTATTCGCGTTTTATGTTTACTTTAAAAAACGGAACCTGAGAAGCGGGCGGAGCGCTGTGACGTAAGGCCCTATGCAGGAAAGGGGGAAGGGGGATGGCATCCAGCCAGCCGGTTGTGAGGGGGAGCCTTGTTCAGGAAGATAGGAAGATTAAATTGTACTCGCTTGCATTTAATTTGGACGCTGTTACGAATCAGTATTGTCACGTTTGGTTTGCAAACTCGAGCTAAGGTTTTACCGCTTTTAATTTTCAGAGGAGGAACGTAAACGGGATACATTTTTCTTCAGGAACGAAATGCCTTGTGAAAACTTGTGTTTTTACTCGCCTTAACAAATGCTCTCAATACGTGGCCCTTGTGTCGAAGTATGACGTAGAAAATTTGATTTCTTTTTGAAAGTGTAGGCTTCTGCGGAGTGAGAATCTACTTGGCCACCCAGGCGCCCACGTTTTGGCCGTTATGCTGCGACCTTCCTCCGTCTCGCCCTGAGGAAGGTCGCAGTATGGCGGCCGAAACGTTGGCGCATGCGCCTTGGAAGCGGTGTCACCCGGTCTGCGAAGTAGACGTGACAAATTTTTCCTTTTTTGAAATGTATGGTATCTACCATCACGGCTTTGCCTCAGGCAATCAGATAGAGGCGCCTGGTAATATCCAGGGGCATTCTGCGACGAGCGCAATTTTCGTCGATCCCCTACGGATGTCTTCCCAAGCGGCCACGGTAGCGCGCGTCCCTCAAACGGCAGGGCTCTTCGCTGACCCTCCGGCGACGACGCACAAAGGGACCGCAACAGCTATAAACAGCAGCTGTGCACTGCGGCCGTGGCACAGTGGGAAGGCTACCATTTTAAGCTCTGTTCCGCTAGCACTGGTTCGTACGCCCTGCACTTGCCGCAGCAGCTCAAACCCGCCACACTGGGAAGGGGCCCTAAATGTCGCCTCTGTGGAAGCCCTTGGGCCCTTTCGGCTGGAACCGGCTGGAAATCTCTATTACTGCTTGTCTCTGCAGTTGCCTCTCCTGCGTAAACTGGAACTCTTTTGGCCTTTCCGTACATGCTCTCTTTCTCTTTCTTCTTTACTTACCTTCTCTCCTCTCTCTCTCTCCTCTCTTCCCTCTCTTCTCTCCTCTCTTCTCTCTCTTCTCTCTCTTCTCTCTCTTCTCTCTCTCTTCTCTCTCTCTTCTCTCCTTCTCTCTCTTCTCTCTCTTCTTCTCTCTCTTCTCTCTTCTTCTCTCTCTTCTCTCTCTTCTCTCTCTTCTTCTCTCTCTTCTTCTCTCTCTTCTTCTCTCTCTTCTTCTCTCTCTTCTTCTCTCCTTCTCTCCTCTCTCTTCTTCTCTCTCTTCTTCTCTCCTCTCTCTTCTCTCCTCTCTCTTCTCTCCTCTCTCTTCTCTCCTCTCTCTTCTTCTCTCTCTTCTTCTCTCTCTTCTTCTCTCTCTTCTCTCTCTTCTCTCGGCTCGCTTGGCTGTGAGAGGATCGTGACTAACTCAAAGGGACGCTCGAGGAGCGTGTGGTGAAATGAAAGAGTACTATACGCGGGTCTATTAACTCTATGACGTACATGTTAGGTCTGAATTGTTACGTTGGTTCTTTCATAATTTAACTACAATCAAATAAGGTTTAACTTTAAGATTTGCATTAGGGAAAAACTAGTCGTGCTCCTCCGAGGATCAATTACCGTACCGACGACCCAAATGGTTTCCTCGCAGGTCTCTCCTCTCCTCACGTCTTGTCTCTCTGCCCGCTCTCGTCCAAGTCCTCGACCTTCGCGTGAATGACCACCGCCTCGCCTTCCTCTCTCTCCCCACCTTCCTTAGAACTTAGCCTTCCACACGCCTTGTCCTGCGTGGGAAGCTGACGCGCCTCCTCGTTGGCACCTTAGCGACCAATCTGGGCGGTGCGCAGGGGGCGGGGCCGAGGCGCGCCCTGAGTAAGTGCTGAACATGTCTTGGAAATTTTCCACCAACTTCGCAGCGTCTGAAGTGCTTTTCAAAATGGGAATAAGTTTGCTTTCCACACAGTAAGTTTAATTCTCCATCCGCCCCACGCTCGTGATAATTGTTTTAGCTTCTCTTATCCTTACAAGCAACATAGATTAGTTTGGGGGGACTTCATCGTAAGTAATTGTTGAAGAGTTTGAGGTAGCGTGGAAGAACTCCGACCACATGTCGCCTCACGCGCCTCACGCTGCAGGAGAATGTGGCAATGCAAATGGCCCCACGAGTAGCATAGTGTCGGGTTCACTTCAAAGGGCCTGGTGTTTACGGGTCCAACTGGTCAACCCGAACCCGTCTCGAGAAGAACTTCCTCTGGGAGCCACTCCGGTTCCTCTAGCATATCTCGTTGGGGGGGGGGGCGTCGCAAGGAGCGCTTTCGATGTGATCAGAGCCGAAAGGAACTCCAAACATTCGTGCGCATTTTCCTGAAATAACTTGAGATAATTTTGGAACTTGTGTACTTTTGTCACTGACATAAAAGTTACGAAGTGTATAGTGTGATCGACCGAAAAAAGAAGATAATTATGATAACATTAATGCTTTCATTATAACATTCATGCATTGTTTATAATTAAAAGATTTCTTTTTATGAAAGAGGTTTGTTCATATAAATTTTGTTATATTTCTGTATGTAATTGTCAGGCGTTGATTGAAAATGGTAGTTACTAAAAACATCGCTTTATATTGTTGCAGCCATTGTCTGAGTATGATACAAAGATCTGTCCACCTCTTATTGTGGCAGCAAGAAATGGTTTCGAGAAAATTCTCTCCATAATTTTGAAATCTGATCCAAAACCTAACATAGAAATGGAGACAACATTGCACTTCAAGGGATATAATGACATAGAAGGAGTCACTGCCTTGTGGTGTGCCGCGGGTAAGTATTCAATGGCGCCTCGTAAATGTGGCGTGTTCGCGCTACAACCCGAAAGTTTTTCTCGCTGGAGGCACATTTGATGTTGGCGCCCTGCGGGCACTGAATGGCCTCTTGTGTGCGGTTGCTTGTGCTGAGGAAGGGGTCCAAAGGCCGCCCGCACGGGAGTGACTCAGCACAAGAGGCGGGCAGCGCCTGTGCTTGACGGACGCTTAATGGCTACCTGCAGAAGACCCCCCGCCCTACCGCTTGCGCCTGGCACCGTTGCCCAAATACTAAAGGAGATTGAAACAGAATTTACTTTTCCTGTTTACGGTATACGTACACACTTCAAAATGGCAGAAGACGGTTGGCGTATGGACGGTCTCCCTGCATTACGGGTTTGCTGAATTTCAACCAGTCCAACTCATAGCGCTGACGTCACATTGCCGATGCTTCCCTGCCGAGACCGTATTGCTGTTTTCGTTGCTACTATGAACATTGGGGGGGGGGGATGCCTGTTTTTTACTTCATACCGTGGTTTTTTCTTCTGTTCTATAGCGATATTGTGAGCTCTGGTAAGTTGAATCAAACATGAATACGGGAGTGAATTGGAGGAGATCACACAAGTGAAATAGTTTCGAAGGCCGCGGAGGAAATGGTAGAAGGTGCAAATGTGATATTGCAGAACAACGTCAACGGTTTTAGAAAGAGCACTGAAGTTTAATTCTTAAATACCATATGAGACAGTTAATCTTGTATTATAGTCAGTCAGGTAGTTGGGGAGTGGGAGAAGAATGTGGGGGATGTGGAGGTGATTTTATAAATGTGCATGTTCTGGTTGACAGTGTCGAAGGCAGTCGTAAAGTCCAGAAAGATTGCTGGTACCGAATGTATTTTTCCTTCCTGTAGTCGTGTTGCAATATCGATAGTGATTCGTAGCGTTTGTAGTCCAGTCGATCTGTCTGCTCGAAAGTCGAATTATGTCGGTCTGAGTCGTTCGTCTAGTATTGGAGTTTTCGTAATATAATTCTAGTGTTTTTTTTCCTTAAATGGGGATGATACGTATTGGACTGTAGTGTGGCGTCTTTGCTGGGGCAGTAAATCACTGACGTGAACGGTTTGTAATTTATTAAGCATTTATTTGGAAAAATGCTCCAACACCTGAATATGTACAATAATTATGTACAATAATTACAATAAACAATATTGACCCGTTATTAGAAGGAATGTTCCTGGTTACCACCACCGCTGGCCTGATAATTAGATATCTTAACCGGTCTGTTGATGCCACAGTAGCCTACGTGAGCATACAAAGCGAGTATGCCGCCACCTCCCGTCTCGACGCTAGCACGCCGGTTCAGTTCCCTGCACCTCGGTAGCCTATGCATTAAAAGCAGCGGCCGCGCACAACCACACCGACTTCCTAACCGACGCACCCAAGAATCAGGAGTTTAGGTCCGGGGTGTCCCGTTTTATATTACCTTCTGGGCTTGCCTGCGTCATCTTCGCTGTTTCCGCCGACGCGTTTCCGCAGCAGCTGTGTACGGGGTTCCCAAGTTCTGCCGGCCAAGTGGTCTACGCGGGTTCACAAGTGGCCACCCACGACACAGCACCCCTTCCCTTCCGCTCCCTAGGTTTGCCATTGTTCAGTCCGGCGTCTCTTCCGCTAGCGCTGTCCATGAGCATGAAATGCACGTGGCTATTTTGTCATGTTTGTACAAGGCGACTGATATGACGCCACGTAGTTGTCGGGGTTGTGAAGAGGCTTGTTGGGTTTGGGAATAATTTTTAATTTTGCCAGTATTCCAGGAGGTGGGGAAACAGAATTTTTGATGCATACTTTTGTTATTAAGTCTGTCACGTTTTTGGTCAGTTTTCGAGAGCGATGGCTCTTACTCCGTTGGGGCCGGTCGCTTTACCGCCATCGAGGTTTTTGAGTTCGTTAGTCCCTGTTTGTTATAGTTCAAGGTGTTTGTTGATGTTGCGGGAGATAGGACGTTTTCATGAAATATATGATGGATGAGGAGAGGGGGGTGTTGATTCACTGTACAGTGAATCATGGGGTTCACACTGTACACTGTACAGTGAATCATGGCTGAAATTTCTTTGCAAAAAGTTCTGTCATAGCCTGCGGATCGTAGGTTTTTGTGCCTTTGGGTCGCAGTAGTGGCGAAATGTGAGTAGTTCCTTTCAGAGTTTCTATTTAAGTCCAAATTTTGCTGGGGATCTCAGTAAAGTTCTTTTATTGTTTTTGCCCAGTTCTGGCATTCCTAGTCTTGTAGTGCGTCGTATATTGTTCGTTTGTAGTATAAGTACGTCATTTTGTAGTCATGTAGTGTTTGTAGGTCTTTAGTTTGTAGAGTAAAAGTACTAGTATGTTTGGAAGCTTTTCTTGTGCGTTGTCGGTGAATGTGGATGCTTCGAAAGGATCAGTTAATTTGGAGAGTCTGATGTTTGGAGTGCGTTTGGAGGTTTGACGTTTTTGGAAATGTTAGGTCAATCTGTGGAGATCGTTCGGGAGGGTATTTTAAAGTTGTGGGATGTGGTGTCTGTAGTGAAGAGGATTGGATGGTGATCGGAGAAGAGTTAGACATTTGGATGAGGGGTGCTTAATGTAATGTTGGCTGAAGAGCGTAGTCCAGGATGTCGTGAGGAAGGTTGCGGATGAGAGGTGTGGGTTCTGCTGGTGCTGAAAGGGTTACATGTGTGATTGTGTCAAGATACGTCTGCCGTATTTGTCCGTTGGTATTAGTATATCTGCATCGCCATGTAGTTAATTTGTTATTAATTTCTCCTGCTAGTAGAAATGTGTCGCGTGTAAGTAACGTCGGACCGCTGTGTCTAGTAGTGAGAGGCGAGGGGTTTTATAAATGGAATCTATTGTGAGAGGTGCGTGTGGGGTGGCTATGTGAATTAGTGTTGTCGATGTTGGGGGCGGGGGTTGCTGGATGTGAGAGATGGCTTTTTTTAATGTAAATTGCAGTTCCACCGCCGTGGGTGGAACGGTCTGTTCGGTAGGTAATGTAATTGGGGTTGTTGAAGGGGCGGGAACGTGATGAGTGCGTCTCTTGTATAAGCAATACACCAACGAAGTACTGTCAGGTATAGTCTTATGTCATCTTTCGAGCAAGTCCGCCATTGGCGTTCCAGGAGATGCTAAGAAGTTGGCTTCTGATGAGTTTAGAAAACGTGGTATACTTTTGTAATGGTTGTGATGATTTTGGCCATGTTGTCATTCAGTGCTTTGCAGATGCTGATGATTTCTTTTATTGTAGCTTTGAGTTGGGTCAGATTGCAGGTTTTGATGAGTAAGATAAGTTCTTGTAAGTCCTTGAAATTGGAGGTAGGTGGGTGTCAAGTTGCTGGTACGTGAGGAGTAGGATTGTAAAGCATTGGTTGTAGTTGAGGTAAAGGATTGTTGGGGAGTGGTGGTATTTGTTTGACGGAAAGTCAGTGCTGGTGGGAGCTGGTAATGTTCATCCTTGTGTCGTTTGGTCTTGTCTAGGGTGTTGGGAGTGTTTTTAGGGGGTGTTGTGCTTTTATGATAATGGGGCTGTCAGGTGAGTAGGCAGGGCTGCTGTCGCATCGCGGTGTGCGGTCAGTCTGGTGGTAGTCGTAGATGGCGGTTTTGTCGGGGACTAGGAATTGGATGTTGGATTTGATTTGTCCTGTACCTGTCTGTTGGTCTCGCTCGCGTACAGTCCAAGTCCAATCGAGGTGTTGCTGTCAGTTCTCTTTTTCATTTCGGAAATGATTTTAAAGGGGAAACGGGAGAGTGCAGTGGAGATGCCAGGGGAATGTTGGGTGATAGTCCTTCGTGACCAGTTTAGTGTGTCCTGCGTCCGTTGTCCTATTGTGGTGGTAGTAAAGGATGCTGTCAAAATAACGTGTGCGTATGTTAGGGTTCCGTTGAATAGCCTCCAAGGCTTTCAGTATTTTCTTTTGGGCGTCTGTTGTCTTGGCTTGGAGGATTAGTTCGGCTGCTTTTGGCGAAGGAGCTGTTGGGTACGTGTTGTTGCAGGTCAGACAGATGTCTAGTGTTGCATTTCAGTCCATTGCTGTCAGGGAATTCAGTTTGACAGGAAGTCAGTGCTGGTGGGAGCTGGTAATGTTCATCCTTGTCTCGGTAAGGCTCCTTGTTGACGGCATCTCGTAGGTGTGGGGGTTGTCTCGGGAGCACTGGAGGTTTCGGCGTTATTTGTCGTGTCGGTCTCTGATTCTGGTGATGTTAGTTGGCTGAAGTGTTTCTGACTTAACAGGGCGTAGGAGCGTCAGCAAGAAACGTTTTTTTTTTTAGTTGAAGTCGCAGTCGCTGGTCGTGCAACCATTAGCTTCGCTCCCGCCAAAATGCGGCAGAACAGTAACTGAGTGATGCTTAAAGAAAGATGCCATCAGCTTCAGTATGCATGGCGGATTTCTAGATTATTAAGTTTTGCATCGAGCCAACCATTAACTTTAAGTTTTAATGAAAAAAGTTCTTGTTTAATTTGAATGGTGCAGGAAGGGGGAGTGAAAGAAATTAGTTAGCGGGAAGTCGAGTCTGGGATGATAAGTATGGGTTTGGAGTCACGCTAGGGCCGCTCACCATTTGCTGCTCTGCATCCTTGGGCAATATAGAACCCTTGGAGGTGTCGGAAGAATCAGAATGCTTCTTATTCTTTTTCCGGTGTGTCCCTTTGTCCCCCTGGACGCAACGTTGCTGCCAGACTTCTGTGTCTAACATTAAGAAAACAGGACGACCGCGTATTGTTCGAAATGAAAACATTGTTCTCATGCGTGACAATGTGATGGTGCCCCCCCCCCCCCAGATAATCGTTTCGCCGACGACCTCAACAATTGAATTTATCACAAAGTTCACTGCTTATCATCCTTTCAAAAGATGTGAAAATGCATGCGTATAAGATTCAACTTACTACCGTTCAAGCCTCACTGGAGTAAGCGGGGGTACAAGAGGTTTCAAGATAATGGGAGAGGAGCTCCCAAGACATTCATATTAGAAATTCTACGGAGGGAGGTTCGGCTCCCAAAGTATTCACATATTAGGATTCACTCAGAGAGGCAACCAAAGAAATTTGACGTAACTTTCCATCATATGACAAAAACCAACAACAGAGCGCTTTAATAGTAGATTATAAATACACATTCACTTATACTTTTCAGTTATTAGAACGTCAGAAATGCATTGGAAAATATTTACAATAAATTTTCAGTGAAAACATTTGTAGGTTTACATCCTCCACTACATATTCGTTTTCTATATTATGTTAGCAGAAATGGGTTGGAGGTTAATTGTCATAATGTATCATTAGAAGTGCCATCTCTTCAGTTACCAAAGAATACGAATTAATACGCGTAAATTTCCTTTATATTAAACCAACGACGACCAGAGCGCTTAAATTGTATATAATACACATTTATTTATATGTTTCAGTTATTAGAGCGTCGGAAAGGCTATTGAAGTTACTTACAGATAAAAAAAATGGCAAAATGTTTTGAAGAACACACGCAATGCATTGACGTTTGTAATATTAGAGCGTCAGAAATGCAATGGAGGTTATTTACAATACAGTTTCATTGAAAAGATTTGTAGGTTGACTTCTCCCACTCGTTTTCTATATTAGTTTGCAGAAATGATTTGAAGCTTATTTGCCATAAAGTATCATTTGAAGTGACACCTCTTTCAGTTACCAACGAATACGCCTTCTGCAAATACGTTTTAAATATTAGCACGTCAGAGAGGCAACCAAGGAGTTTTGGCATAAATTTCCTTCAAATGAAACCATCGTCGCGCAGAGCGCTTTGATTGTAGAAAAAATACGCATCCACTTATACGTTTCAGTTATTTGAACGACAGAAATACAATGAAGTTTATTTGCATTAAAGTTTCATTGCAAAGGTTGGTACGTGGACTTTTTCCACTACATGTGCGTTTTCTATATTAGGATAGCAGAAATGGGTTGGAGGTTTTTTGCATTAAGTATCATTGGATGTGAAATCTTTTCAGGTACTAAAGAATATGCCCTCTGCAAATACATTTTAAATAATTAGAACGTCAGACGAACAACCAAAGATTTTTGCAGTAAATTTCCTTCATACTCCCAATGCATTAAAGTTTGCGTTATTAGAACGTCAGAACAACAACGGAGGTGACGTGCAATTTGTTTCAAGAAATGCAACAAATGTTGATGTATTTTATTTTAAAGATTTGTAGGTGTACTTCCTCCCCTATATATTCGTTTTCTATATTAGGATAGCAGAAATGGTTTGGAGGTTATTCGCCATGAAGTGATATTGTATGTGACATCTCTTCGGTTACCAAAGAATACGCCCTCTGCAAATACGTTTTAAATATTAGAACGTCAGAGACGCAACCAAAGATCTTTGGCGTAAATTTCTATCATACGTCAACGACGACCAAAACGCTTTAATAGTAGAGAAAATTCACATTCACTTATACGTTTCAGTTATTAGAACGACAGAAATACAATGCAGGTTATTTACAATAGTTTCATTGCAAAGGTTGGTACGTGGACTTTTTCCACTATATATTCGTTTCCTATAATAGGTTAGCAGAAATGGTTTGAAGGTTATTAGGTTAAAGTATCATCGAAAGTTACATCTCTTTAGTTACCAAAGAATACGAATTAATGCGCGTAAATTTCCTTCATATTAAACCAACGGCGACTAAAGCGCTTTAATTGTATATAATACACATTTATTTATATGTTGCAATTATTAGAGCCTCAGATTGCAATGGAAGTTACTTACAAATGAAAAAAAAACATTGCAAAAAGTTTCGAAGAATGTGTACACGCAGTGCATTGATGTTTGTGATATTAGAACGTCAGAAATGCAATGGAGGTTATTTAAAATAAAGTTTCATTGAAAAGATTTGTAGGTTCACTTCCTCCACTACATATTCGTTTTCTATATTAGGTTAGCAGAAAAGGGTTGAAGATTATTTGCCATAAAGTATCATTGGAAGTGACACCTCGTCAGTTACCAACGTATACGCCCTCTGCAAATACGTTAAAAATATTTGAACGTTAGAGAGCAACCAAAGATTTTTGGCATAAATTTCCTTCATATGAAACCAACGTCCACCAGAGCGCTTTAATTGTTGATAAAATACACATCCATTTATGCGTTTCCGTTATTAGAACGTCAGAAATGTAATGGATATTACTTACAATCAAGTTTCATTGCAAAGAATTTTGAAGAATACCGGCAATGCATTAAAGTTGGCGATATTTGAACGTCAGAACAACAACGGAGGTGACGTGCCATACGTGTTATGAAATGAAACATAAATTAAAGTTTTTGCTTTCTAAAATTTCTTGGTACTCTTCCTCTCCTACATAATTGTTTTCTATATTATGAGGGTGGCCTTTTATATTTCAGGATTAGAGAACAAAAACAAATATTAATCATCGAAAATCACTGTATTGTTTTTCAACATAGTTCCAATCAAGATCTATGCACTTTAGCATGCGTTTGAACCAATTTTCGAAGCTCTTTTTCGACTGTGATTGAGGTATCTTTAAAACATGCATTCTGGACGCAGAACCGCTTCTTCGTTTGTACTCTTTGCTCCTTTTTTCATTGTAAAGCTTGTATCGTTTTGTTTTATCTGTCTGTCAGACTGTTTTTTTGCGCGTTGTCGTTTTTTTTTGTTGTATTGTCGTTACTTGTGTGTTTATTGTTCTTGTGTAGATTTATTACGTGTATCGTAACCGTTCAATTTTGCCGTGTTCGTGACTGTCATTTGTCCACTGACAGGCGATGGGAGGGGGAATTTGGAGGATGTCAATTGGGTTTTGTTTGCGAGTGAAGCGCGGTGGGTTTCTGAAGTCGAGGAGGTGAGGAATGATTTGTAGACGTTACTTAAGATTGTTGCTGTATTTTTGGAACTGTGCTATTGGAGAGTGATGGTGGTGGTAAGAATGTCGGGGATTTTGTGTTGGTAATTTGGTAGGTAGGTAGATTGGTAGGTAGATGGAAGGGCGGAATTTAGTAATCAGGTGATTTTTCGAGTGATTTTCGTAGAAAGTGGCAATCCAGGTGGGGCATGCGTATGATACGATGGAACGGATATAGGTGTAATGTGTTTATATTTTTTTTTGGTGGGAAGGGATGGATATGAGAGGATGGAGTAGGCGTTCGTGATTTTTGTGGCTTTGGTTCTTGTCTGGTGGATGTAATTGATCCACAGAAGTCGCTGCGACGCGTCGGGAGAAAGTTAGTCCAAGGTATTTTACTTCGGTTTTCCAGGGGTTGGTGTGTTTTTTAGAGACGGATATGGGAGAGGAGAGTGGGGTGGTGGGGATAGTTTTACATGAAAATATAATGGCTGGCGATTTTGATAAGTTGATGATGATGGCGTTTTGTGAGGCCGAGAAGGTGAATGTGTTTAGTGATTCTTAATGTCGGATGAGGGATCGGTTTAGTGAGAGGAAGGAAGAAAGGATGACTAGGTCATCGGCGTATAGGAAGGTTTGGACTCCAGGAGTGCGTGGTATATCGTTAATATAGATGGAAAATAGGATTGGGGATTGCACGGCTCGTTGTAGAACGCCGGCTCTGGTCGGGTGATAGGCTGAATTTTTTGATAAGTGGCGAATGTAAAAATATATTTGGTTAGGATAGATCTGAAGTAATAGGTGTAAGTGGTTAGGTACATAGGGAGGATTTTCATTAGAAGAATTAGGCGATAGACTGTGCCATATGCTTGGGTGAGTGCAGTGGCTATTGCAAGGGAGAGGTTTCGCGTTCTGAGATCCGGAGAGCAACCCTATCACAGTTCAAATTGCGAGATGATAGGATCTAGGATAGGTGTTAGTTGTAGGAGTGCGATTTTTTTCGAAACTTTTGCTGATAATGGGAAGGAGGCTTATGGGGCGGTAGTTTGACGGGAGCCGATGATTCCTGCCCGGGTTGGGAAGCATGGTTACGCGGGCGGTTTTCCATCGTACCAGACATTGGTTTCGTCCGGCGCCGAAGTGAAAGCGGCCATGCAAACCTGGTGTGGACAATCATTGACTTTTTCGACGGGTTTTCCCGAAAGTCTCGCGTTTGCCCAAGGGCGTGGAAAGAAGTGGGATGTAGATCCAAAAGTGAATAGTAAAAAGACAAAATTATATATTAAATGCTAAAAGCTTTGAAAATCTATTGGCAAATATAAAAGGTACAGACATGGTGGCATTACTCATTAATCTAGGTAATTTCTTCTACCGGTCGCTAATTTGCCTTTAATGTGATGTCCCATTTCCGGTAGTCCTAAAATTCTATACTTTTCTATTTCCTCTTAAATTATAGAAGTGCATTGGCCTGTTCGGAAATGTATGGAGATCACGGATTATCATGAAATACACAATAAAGTTATTACACTATGTCATTTTTAACGTGGTATTGTGTAATTACTTGTACCAAACCGCAATGCTCTTTTCTGGGCACGTCACCGATTTTCCTGCTGTTGCAGGCGCTGGCCATTTTGAGACCGTGAAGCGGTTGGTAGAAAGTGGTGCAGATGTCAACCATGCGACGAAGACAAACTCCACTCCAATTCACGTTGCATGCTACTCTGGGAAACTTGAAATAGTAAAGTTTCTTCATGAGCATGGAGCTGACATTCATATCCTGGAGAATCACGGCCATTCTTGTCTGATGGCCGCTACTTGTGGGGGACATATGGATGTATTTTTCTATCTCCTGGACGAGGGAGTGGATTTGAACCAGAAGATGCTGTGTGGTAATACGGCAATGCATCTTGCGGCCGAATGCGGGAATGGGAACATCTTGTTTGTACTCCTCCAGATGCGAGCTGTGTCTGTAAAAAATGCAAATGGTATTTGTTTTTTCTCTCGCGTATTTTCAAGAAATGATACCATAGTCTCTCTTTCATGCTGAATGTACTTTTTCTAGGATTAAGTCCTTTGCTTGGCACTGCAAGGAGTACCCTTGCGTATATGTTGGAATATTTAATAACGCTACCTGCTTTTTCGAAGGAAGACAAAATCCTGTCACTTGAGCTCTTAGGAGCATCATTTGCTAGCGACATGTATTACTACAATCTACCCAACGCGTACAAATACATGCGTTTATCAATGGAAATGAGGTAAGTACGATATGAAAGGAGTATTCTGGCCCACATTTTCATTTCGTTATTTTATCCTCCTTCTTAGCCACATTTTCCCAAAACAAAAAATCCACAATTTCACGCACTTTTAAACCGGGAATAGACATATATTTTCTTGTATATCTCCTTTTAAAGAATTGTTAGTTTCTTTAACTCATATTTTTGTCTATAATACACAGTATACGTAATCATAACACAAAGAATAGCCTATGATTAACTAAAAGATCCGCATACCAACATTTTTGTAAATATCTGCTTTTCCAATTGGAGACATTTGCTTAGTACGAAGGTTGCCTTTTATGTTTCGGGATTTGTCAACGCTGGTGTTGCAATCTGGCAACTGACAGCTCTATCGTAAAGTTGGATGTTTTGAGGTTATACGTACTCGGAACGTTTTGACATACGAGCGATATTTGTGTTATTTACAGTAACTTAAAAGATTCATCTTGATCCAAAAATGGAATTAAATCGTGAACATATTCGTGCGATTTTTTTACAACTTCCGACCTGGATTAACTCAGCAACTGTGCATGGATGAACTTAATTCAATTTTTGGCGATGCTCTATCAAGGACCAGTCGATGGTATGGTGAATTCAATCGTGGTCGTAGTTCACTCCAAGACGAATTTCGCGAAGGTCGTCCAAAATCAGTTGTTGTGCCGAAAACCATTGATGCTGTGCGTGAACTGATATTGCAAGATAGTCATGTGACCTATCGTGAGATTGAGACAACCTTAGGCATTAGTGGGACCAGCATACATTCAATATTGCATGAACATTTGACTGTCAAAAATTTGTTCGCGTTGGTTCCCACACAATTTGTCAATCGCTCAAAACAAGGCTCGTGACGATTAGTCGAAAAAAAGCTCAAAAATACGATCGCGGTGCTTCGAAACACGTGTATGACATCGTGACAGGTGATGAATTGTGGATTTACGCGTATGAGCCCGAAAGTAAACAGCAGTCGACTGTTTGGGTGTTTCAAGATGAGCAAAATCCAACAAAAGTTGTTCGCGCACGAAGCACTTCCAAACAGATGGTCGCCTATTTTTTCGAAAAAACTGGACATGTCGCAACCGTACCACTAGAACAACGCAGAACAGTCAATTCTGAGTGGTACACAACGATTTGTTTGCCAGCTGTTCCAAGAAATCAGGAAAAACAACCGCTGAAGACGGATCACTCATCACCACGACAATGCGAGCTCTCACACATGGGCTCAAACAACTGCATTTCTGAGCACCCAAAACATCGATTTGATGAGTCTTCCGCCGTATAGTCCTGACTTGGCACCGAGTGACTTATTTTTATTCCCGTACGTAAAAAACAAACTGAGAGGTCAACGTTTTTCGACACCTGAAGAAGCGATTTCTGCATTCAGAATGCATGTTTTGGAGATACCTCAATCAAAAGTGCTTCGACAAGTGGTTCAAAGGCATGCAATAGATCTTCATGGGGAATATTTTGAAAATCAATAAAGTGATTTTCGATTATTAATATTGGTTTTTGTTATCTAATCCTGAAATATAAAAGGCAACTCTCGTAGCTGAGTTTCTAATCTTCACTGTTGCACAAAGGTTACAATTTTCAATCTATATTCAACTTATTTAGTAACTGGCCATAACATTTCTGCACTGCATATTGCGGATAATATTTTCTTGCGCGACAGAGTAACGTAACAAATTCTTAAAACATCCTAGCGATTAGGAAGATGAGTGCATTTTTAATTTGTTATTAAATGTTTTGTAGCTACATATCACAAAACAATTTTGTATTTAATTTCATTAGACAATTTAATATTCTATTGTAATCAACGGGATCTTGAACTTATTTATATCAATCACTAGCTGGCTCATTTTCGGCTTTTGACCCCTAGTCTATTATTTATTCTTCATTACGCTACCAACAAAACTAAAACATATTGGAATATCGTAAAAACTACAACCACATCATCTCGTTACTTGCTAGAGAATGTTGATTTAAAGGATAATGAAGGAGAAGCCATCATCCTGAAAAGGTGGCAAATCTCTTCAATCAACACTTTTCTAAAATTGCGTCAGAACATACGGAGGGACTAAAACCGCAAAATTCAACATCATTACCTTCCCAAAAAATGTTCGAAACAATGCATGTTTTCGAAACTTTTCATGAAATCCTGAGATTAGTCGGTAAACTAAAAAAGTAAATATTTATCTAGTTTGAGATGAATTTCCAGATTCTGAATTGAAAACTCTTAATCCTTCCTTTATGCACCCGTGAACTCACATTTTCAATGTTTTATGCACAGGAATATTTCCAGATATTTTCAAAACTTCTAAACTCAAGCTACATTTAAAAAATGGAACAAAAATGAAATTTAAGATTACCGGCCAATTTCTCTTTTGTCAGGTTTCTCAAAAATATTAGAGAGGCTTTTCTATAGGCGAATGAAAAACGAAGCATTTTCACACTCATAACACGGGTTTAGAAAATCAAAATCTTCGGAAACTGCCATGTTTTTTTTATTTCTTAAAGATGTTGCTTCATGGATGGACCAAAATGAAGCACCCATTGAAATATTTTCAGATCTTTCGAAAGCTTTTGATGTTATGGGGAGTCCCCTGACTGGTAATGCCTGCCCCTGCCACCCACACCCATCTCCCACCCATTCTTCTGCCTCTCCATCAACAACCCTCTTCCACACTCCGCATCTTTCACCAGCATCCAGTCCTCTCTTACCCCCACCAGTTCCTTCTCCCACTCCCACACCTCTCCTGCCCACTCCACTTCTTCCAACCACCTCCTCTCCTTTCTTCTCCTCTTCAGCTCCTTCACCTAGTTCCACACTTCCTACTCCCCGTCCCATCCATACATATAACTTCCATTGCAAGCGAAAACCAACTCCTGTGTATAACCTGTAGCATCAAACATTGGCAGGAAAGCAGACAATACACAAAAATAAGATCTTTTTGCACATTCTTCACCAAAATGTACAGTCGCTGAAAAATAAACTCACTGATATAGAAATATTACTTGAGGAGAAACTCAACCACATTTCAGTATTGTGCTTCACAGAACACTGGCTAACTAAAGAAAAATTATGTAACACATATATACCAGGTTTCTCTCTAGCCAGCAGCTCATGAAATATTAACAATGCACATCATACATATGGTGGGACATGCATTTTTATTAAAGATGCAATTAGTTTTGTACCCTACACCAATCACACTCATGTTGTAAAAGAGAAAAACTTTGAAATATCCATCACTGACTTAACAGCAATAAAAACGGGTCTTATGCACATATCAGAGTCTTGGTAGGAATTTGAAAATCTTTTTAAAAATCTGCATGTTATTCTTACAAAACTTCAAAAACGCAGACAGTATAAAATTATCCTTTGTGGTGACTTCAATATAAATTGCCTCACACAATCCAGTAATGAAAATCTATTTTAAGACCTACTAAAATCATACAATTTACAACCAACCATAAATAAACCTACACGAATATCCAAAAATAGTAGCACTGCTGTAGATCAAATAAGAGATGCAAATAACCATTGTTTTTCTGTTGCTACATTTAATGCAGGTTTCAGTGATCACACTGCCCAGATTCTAACACTTCAAACAGAAACAAAAACCACGGAATAGACAGCATACAAAGCAATCCGTAACTATTCCCAAGGAAACAAATAAAATTTCATAACTTACTCAGATTCTAAAACTGGAATGAAGTATATAAGGCAACTGATACAAATGATAAGTTTAATTCATTCATAAATATATACTTACGACATTTCAATGCCATTTTTCCTCAAAAACTGAAAAAGATCCACAATAAGAAAACTAAATCATGGATTAACACAGGCATCAAAGTGTCATGTGAAAGAAAACACAACATGTATAAAATACTAACAAATAACAAATGTAACTCACACTTCATTTCATATTACAAAACATATAATTCGATCCTAAAAAAATAATCAAACAAGCAAAAATTATGACAAATGATAAGTACATTGCAAATGCATGTAATAAAACAAAAGCTGTGTGGGACATTATTGAAAAGACTACAGCACCAACTAATAATAACAGAAATAAATATAGAGCTCCACTACAAAAACCAAACTGTACAAGACCCACAAGAAAAAGCTGATATATTCAATGAACACTTTTCACAAATTGGTAATAAGTTAATTTTTCAACACACTCTAAACAATAAAACACACGAAACAAACACTAATATTACACAAATTGTAAATTCCATATTTTTATATGAAACCACCCCCTCTGAAATTTTTAAAATCATTGGACAAATGGAGAATAAATTCTCAGCAGGCATGGACAACATTCCAGATTTTCTTATTAAACACAGTGCTCCATGTATAGTGCAACCACTCTCACATCTGCAATTACTCTAAAATCAGGCATATTCCTAGATATATTCAAAATAGCAAAAATTAAACCATAGTTTAAAAAGGGCAATAGTTATGATCCAATGAACTACAGACCTATCTCCCTGTTATCAGGATTATATATGAAAAATTCTGGAAAGGCTTTTCAATGATACACTCAAACAGTTTCTCAATGCAAATAATGTCCTTACAAATGCACAACATGGCTTCGGGAGTAATAGATGCACAGACACAGCCATCTTCTCCTTTTTAAATTACATACTTCTTGCACTAAATCCAAAGGAAATTCTCATTGGCCTTTTCTTAGATTTTTCAAAAGCCTTTGACATCATTGACCATCACATACTTTTAAGAAAACTAGAAATGCTTGGGTTTTGAGGCATTGCAGGCCCATGGATCAAATCATATTTATCAAACTGTAGCCAAATAGTTGCCCTCCAGCACACTAAAGAAAACAAAA